AACCAGCGACACAGAAATGCCATAATAAAGAGCTGAAGTAAAAAGTTGATAAAACACAGAAACATTAAATCATTTGGGATATACTGAAAACAAAAAATGAGATACATTTGGGGTTGTGCATTGTTTTTACAGGAAAAACTATGCTTTTCCTTCAATTGTTTAGCTTTTGGAGCAACATGAGCAACAATTACACTACAAAAAACATATTTCCTTTTTAGTTGTATTATTATTCTTATTTAAATTGTGTGAAACTCAGTTTTAAGAAAAAATACGGTCTTATTTAATAAAAATGCTACATATAGCACGTCATTCGATGTATTTTTCCCCATCTTGCTGTGATTTTCTGTTCTCTCACACTTTGTGACGCAGTTGTGTGTGAGATAGAGGCTTTGCTCCACTTCCTGCTGCCAACATAAAATGTCAGGCTGCAGTGAGCAGTGAGATTCCCATGTTTTGGTTTGGCCTAGTTTACCCCATACTCAGCTTATGAAATTAAACTTCACGTGGCTTGAAGGAAAGGTGGCGATGAGTGGCTCAGGTGTGTGGCTCGAACTGCTTTCACTTTCAGGTTCAAGCTGCAGATTTACTGACTATTCCCCAAAACACCCAGACGAAGTGGGTAATTTGTTGTGAGGCGTAAGTAGCATTTTGAGGAGGCGTCGCTGTCATTTGGTGTTTGCTTCTTCTTTGTTTTATACCCCGCCACAGAAACTAAACCCTCAGAGGAAAAGAAAAAGGAAGAGAAAAAGGAGCTTGAGATGGCGGGGATAATAAATCGAGCAAATACCTGAAACAGATGCAATATAATTTTATTTTACAACAGATACATTTGAATCAAAATTTCAGCTTTGCATGAATAGCTAATCAAACCTGATATTAACTAAATTACCCCTTTTTTCTGATCTATCATTCCAATCTTCATTTGGTGCATGTTAGCACGGGCTTAAAAATGCATAAAAAGCTTGAAAGTTGGAAGACTGGCAGGAAGAAGCGCTTGGCTTTGGTGACACTCTGTGCATCAGTTGGTAATTGTGCATTCCTTTCTCCTGTACACTTTTGCACCATCAAAGTGTAAGTCATGTTGCATCCTTTTCAGCTCTGTTAACACCTCAAATGTCAGATTTATTTTTTTGCTAAACTCATCCAAATGACTAAGAAGGCGATTAATTTTAGCAGTGAGAAGATAAAATGCACAGTGATTATTAAAAAAAGGTGAGTAAATGTTATAATGCACAGATGGTTTGCCGGAGATGTGCTTTTCCTGCACTCGTGCTTTGAATTAGTCTTGCCTCGGTGGAATAGCTGAGAGAAACAAGCCTTGTAACCTGCTCCCTTTGCTCCTCGTGTCTGTGCAGCATCACAGCTTACTTCACAAACACACTGTGATATTTACTTCAAGAGCCTCACAACCTGAAGCTCCATCTTGGAGGTGCTATTAATTCAGTGCTGTGTGGAGATGTGATGCGGCTTTAATGTTTGTAAGGTTTTGAAAATAATAAATTTATGTTTGGACAATCAAGGAGATTTGTGTCCAGAAAATTCCTGTCGTCTGACTTGCTGGGTGGTTACCTAGGATGTTGCACACTGAAGAAATTCTTGCTGCTGGTAATTTAAAGCCATGCAAGTATCCTGCTGATGCAATTATGCAGACTTTCAGGTCCAATTCTTAATTGAAATGCAATTCAAAAGAATGTACCTGCATGCATTGCTCCTTTCTATAATGCACCAGAAAGAAGTCAAACCACCCTTTTTGTAAAATCACACAATGTGTCTCTGGCTGTTTAATCGTCCTTTGGCTTGCTTCACTTATTTAAGAGTTCTTGACAGTTTACTCACTTTGATTATGCACCAACAGAATCAAACCAGATGACGTAGAGAAGCAACGATATGTGATTAGACTGGCGGTTTGAGAATGATTCAGTTTCTCTGTTTTTCTTTTGGCCGGCCACCAGCAGTTTTCTGTTCTTTGGAAAATGTCACATTATAACAGCAATCTCTCAAGGATATTTTTCTGTTGTTGCGAGCATCTTTGAGGTTCCATCAGTTTCAAACACATTGCTTTGCTGTTACGTGTTTGTTCCAGAGGAAATTCATGTTCTGTCCACATCTGAGTCAGATTTATCAAAACTGCTCATCGCTATGGGAACAAATGTGTAAATACGCAATGAGATCAACTTATTTACTCATTCATCCAATTTTGCATGAACATAACACTAAATAGAGGAAAAAATGCTTTCATGATGAATACATTTGTAATGCTTGCATAGTAATATTAGAATATGTATAAAGAAGTTGTGTGTGGCTCGTGTATCTTCACAATAATAAATCACTTTGAGGACGATCATAATAAAATTAGGTTTCTGAAGTGCTCCTGTGTTTCTTCGGTCTGAAGGAGATAAGGAGCTCGCCGAACAAACTGAGGAATTTGAATAAGGAAACATTCAGTTCAAAGTTGATTGTGGAAAGCAGGTTTTAAAAGATATGCAAAGAAAGTAACAGTAAGAGGATTTGCATTTCTTTCCTATGAATAAAAATTTGTGTTGTGAATTAGTATTCAGTGTGAGCGTCAGCCAGATAGTAGAACTCCTGAAACGTTTCAGCCGACCCATGAGGCGCCTTTCCCAAAATGGTTCTCAAAGATGAATACACGTCTCACCTCAGCACTAAATGAGCGAACATCCAGGTGAAATCAGATTATCTGTAAATAAGACACCCCGTTTTCACAAGCTGACATCGTTTCCTTCAGTCTTAATAGGTTCTCCAAGAAGGTTTAGGCAAAATTGAATAGAAACAGAAAAGCATTTAGTTTTTGTTCTGTTGTTAAAGTTTTCATCATGGCTCACACTGACAAACACAACTCTGAAATACTTTGCAGTTTAGTCACAGAGGGTTTGTGCTAATCCTTCTTTTAGACACAGTCAGACTGCTGCGTTGAAAAAAGTTTAAACCTCTGACTAAAAGAATATTTTTAAAGGGAAAAGCCAAAAACTTGGTGTGATGTAAAACAAAAATGATAAATATGTTCTGATCATTATTTATATTAATGTATAGGAAAATTAATTTATCAAACAATAAAAAGTTTCACACTTTTAGGACTATTTAGAAAAGCATGAGTCTGCGCTTCCAGAGATGGATGAGGTGTGATAAGGTATGAGCTGGGTCTGATATCCTCATCTATACGGCTGCTAAAATCCCTGCAACTGTCATCTGGACAATAAAAACATGTTTTGGTTCAATATTCAGAGCTTTTTAGACTTTGTAAAGCAGTGCTTCATGCCAGAAGCACTTTGTGAATTTAGATTTTTGTGCTAAAGATGTGGCCAATGTTTTGGCGAGGACAAAGTTAGTGATAATAATACTGGTTTGGATTTGTGCAGCACTTTTGCAAGAACCCAAAGCTCTACTCTGACCACCGTCAACGTAAGCAAAGTGGTTGAAAGTTCTTGCTCTAGGACACAACAGCTGAGCCAGTCAGAAACCTTTACACAAATTTTTGCCTGAGATTTAGATTTGCTGTAGTACTTCAGAATGTTACTGAGTGATCAGATGAATTCCAAATTATTTACAAATTCAGTCTCTGTCATCAAAATTAACACATTCCCCAAAATATCTTAGCATGCATTTTTGAAGAGCCCCCAAAAAGCCGAGCAAGCCCCAGGGCCGCCTCCTAAAGTGGTTCCAGTTGAGGGATTGTCGTACCACTAAGGAAGAAATACAGTCTCACTAGGATGACGTTCAGAACATAGAATTATTTGGTGAAATCATGTATTTTAATTTTTCTCACCAGCTAAAATTTCATGTGTAAAAATTCAACTGTAGAATTTCAACAATAAATGAGGTGACCTTATTATGCTCCAGGCTGTCTAGGGGGCCTGGGGTAACAAGGAGGACACATGCTCAGGTGTTTAAAAGTTTACTTAAACAAATGTATTTACACCAAGGAAATTTAATAAACACAACTGGACTAATCAGTGGCAACTAAAATGGTAAAACAAAATAAACTCTACTTAGCCAATATAACTACGAATCAGGGAACCCCCCTGCACATAAAAGACACAAATTGGCTAAAAGAGATGAAAACAAAAGCACGCTGAGGAGCCAACAGGACAGAGACCACATGTCCAGCCTGTTGCTCCTTGATGATGAGGGCTGGGTGGCTTTTATGCAGTGAGTCTTCATTCAGCTGCTGATTGTCATTGCCACCAGCTGGGACCTCAGTGTGGAGCCGGACAGGTGTGGGAGAAGCCAGGTTCTGCAAAACAGTATGGCGCGGTCCTTCCACACAAGAGGGATAAAAAAGAGGAGTAAGAAATGAAATAAAAACATAAATGGCACCAGCCATAGCAAACCTTCAGGTGACCCAAACCAACAAATTGATGGAGTTGATACCTCACTGGTGTCACATGATCAGAGAAACTTAATTTGATTGGCTCAAAGCCAAAATTGTTGCTGGCGAATTTTAAATAAAAATATGTCAAATACATAATTTCACAGAATATAAATTCAATGTAAAAATATTCTATATGTAAAAAAAAAAAGTCTTTTTCTGGTGAAACTGTATTTCTTCCATATTCCACCAGCATTCTCTTGAATGGCAGCAGTCAGGTGTGATGGCATCTGGGGACAATGCGCATGTCCAAAGAATCCTCTTATCTCCTAGAAAAACATCAGAAACTATAGGAACTTGGCTGCTGAATCCACATAATGATTATCTGGAAGCTTTGATCATGACCGTACATCACACAATTGTTTTGGTAGTCGTCTAACTCACTTTGCACATGAGAAACAAAATGCCTCCACACTGTATTTTGAATATTGCAAACTGAACTTGGGCTTGAACACGATTGCCTCCATGAATTACATATATTGTCAAGCAGGACCCCAAAGAAACTTTCAGGGTCTTATTTCCTTCGAGTTCCTTTTTGAGGGTTAAAACTGTACTTTGAACATTAAGTGTTTGCATGTTGCATATTTTAATTGCTTCCTCTTTCTTCTTGCAGGAAGCGCTTACAGGGAATGCATGGATAATGGAACTTGGGCGTTAAAGATCAATTATTCAAATTGTGAACCTATTTTGGAGGAGAAGGTTAGTGTGGAAACATCAAACTAACCAACATTTTCTATGCATGTTCAACACTGGAAACTGTGCTGGTGCCACTGTGTAACACTAATTAAAATGCATTTTCATTTATGTAATTGAGGAAACACACATAAAGTTCATGTATTGTTAGCAATGATTAAAGGAAACAGAAAGGGTGCTTTGGCCTGGTTACTTGTAGTCATCTCTAGATCCAGTGTTTCTGGGTCCTGCTCCATTTTCTTGGATAATTTTAAGCCAAGACATTTGAAGTGTGCCAATGACGCTGGATCTCTCTTTTAGTGAAACTTTAAGTCTTGAGAGACACGAACACAGACTGAACAGATGTAGGAACAGCAGAGTCACTGAGGATCCTATGCTGCTGTTTAGAGTTTCCCAGTGCTCTGATTAATGTCATGTTCTTAATCTTTGGTTCGTAAACTATAAATCACTTTAGCTATTTTGAAAGTTAGTGAACACTTTTCATGATTCTAATGAAGATTGTGGTTTTATTTGGTCATGTCTTTGCTAATAAAGTCCAGTCAAACGGAAACCATGCACAACATCTGTTTTTATTAATAAAACAATATAAACTGGTATTTTTGTTACAGATCTATTATTTTTATAAGCATTTGTGAGTAAAATTATATTTGATGGACACAATGCTTTACATTTGATTTATATAACATCAAAAGATTGGTTTAGTTCAATGAGAACAAAAAGGTTTATCTATTAAAAATTATTTATACATCTCAATGTTTTTACTTTTTGTTATCTGTTTGCAACATATACAGAGTAATTATTGTGCTTTCCTTTCAGAGAAATTATCCCATGCATTATAAAATAGCCCTGATCATCAACTACCTAGGCCACTGTATCTCTGTGGGAGCTCTCGTTGTGGCCTTTGTTCTCTTCTTGTGCTTAAGGCAAGTACACAAGTAGTCTAAATGAGGCCTGAATGCATGAGAACAGATAGAAGATAATCACAGAAATTCATGCCACATCCTAAGACTGCCTACCATTAACTCGCTCATGTCAAATGGGGGAAAAAAAGGAAAGAAAAGAAAAACAAAATCTAAATCTGCAGCTCAGTGGACCACTCTACTTAGAAGGGCTTGATGCATTTTCTTCAATACTTTTGTTTTTGAACTAGCTGTGATTTCGGCAAACAAACACACACACACACATGCATGCACGCACGCACACCCTCATTTGCTTTTTGTTTTGGGATTTAATTGCTGTGTAGCTGAAAAGATACAAAATCACCTCTTTTTTAAAAAAAATCTCCATTAAGTGAAAAAACAACCAAAAAAAATCTGTCATGAGCTCAAATCAGCTCACATTCCCTCCAAAAGTCTTCATGTTAGTAACAGCCAGTGCTGTCTGGAAAACGTACTTTGGCAAAAACCAGTAGCTCAGGTAAATCAGGCACAAATGGAGGTAGTTAAAAGTAGCCCCTTCAATGAAAATGAAACACATGACAGTTTCAACACTATAGGAGCTTGAACATATTTTAGGACTGTCAAACATTTCTTTACATGCAGATGGATTTATATTTTGGTATTTATTGTTTAACAATTCAATTCAAGTTTAGTTATATAGTGCCAAATCACGACAAGTGTCGTCTCAAGGCACTTCACATGGTAAACATTCCAATACAGGTCAGTTTGTTTAGGCCTAGTCCACACGTAGCCGTTTTTTTAAAACGAATATCCGCCCCTCCACAAACTTAAATCCACACCACCTCGTTTTAAAAAAAAACTCTGTCCACACATACCCGGATAAATACGTTGTTAAGGACATGCCAGACCTGTAGGCGGCAGTACTTCCCCCGTTTTTAACCTCGTCCTTCGTCTGTGGTCTTCCGCAAGGAGCAGTAATTCCGCTTGCAAAAGCAAACAAGCAAAAAGCGCTTGGACGATTGATAAAGCGAGCGCAGCTCTGAGGGCATCCATGCTGTCGGCTAGTGTAAACACAGGTCGCACACGTGATGTCAGCATTTTTTTGTCGTGGAAAGTGACGTTGCGGACCTTAAAACTCCGGTTTTGTCTGTCCACACGCAGACACCCAAAACGGAGAAAACGCAGATCTTCACTTTGGCCGGAGTTTTTAAAAAGATCCGTTTTCGTGTGAAAAAACTCCGTTTTTGTGTGGATGACAGGCCAAAACGTAGAATAATATCTACGTTTTGGCAGATCCCCGGCTACGTGTGGACAGGGCCTAAGCCAATCAGTAAAACGTTTCCTATAAAAGGAACCCAGCAAATTGCATCACGTCACTGACTGGTGTCAGTGACTTTACAGCAATCCTCATACTAAGCAAGCATGCAGCGATGGTGGTGACGAAAACTCCCTTTTAACAGGAAGAAACCTCCAGAGGATCCTGGCTCAGTATAAGCAGCCATCCACCACGAGTCACCGGGGATCGAGAAGATAGAGCGCGTGCGCGCGCACACACACACACACACACACACACACACAACATATATACCATGCAGTGTTTCTATGGCTACATTGGGATTTCTAAGTAAACATTCTGTTTAGCAAGAGTGAATCTATAATTAATTCAGCTGGTAAACTAGTAGTAGCACATTCAATGTCAAAGAAAGCTAAATGTTATTATCAGGAGAGGGAGAATGTTGAAGTGGTTAGCAGCAGTGTTCAAGCCGATGGTCCCCACCATGAGGCCACCACAGCATGTCATGGTCTGCGTCTCCCTCATGTGTCTCTTTGTGTTCTCCATCCCTCTCTAGGTTCCCCTTATGTGTCTCTTTGTGTTCCTCATGTGTCTCCTTGTCTGCATCCCCCCTCAGGTGCCTCCTTGTGGTCCCCAGCCCCCTCCAGGTTCTCTCCAGGTTTCCCTCATGTTTCCCTTAGTCACTTTTCTTATCATTAGTTTTCTGTTATTGTTGATAGTTTATTTCATTTATCCCTTTAGGTATCATCCTTATTTCATTTATCCCTTTAGGTATCATCCTCCCCTGTCTTCCAGTGTTTTTGGTTCTCTTACTCATTGATCATTAGTTTTATTATCTTTAGTTCTCCAGTGTCTAATTTCTACAAGTGTTTTAAGTTATTCAGTTCAGTAGCTTGGTTTAACAGGTTTTAGTTAGGGGTTTCCTCACATGCCCTGTTCTGCTCCTCTTGGTTATTGGTATCACCTGTGCCCAATCCTCCTAATCACCCAGCCCCTGAGTTTAAAACCCTGTCCTGTCTTTCTGTGTTTGTTGGTCCATTGCTCATGTCAGCGTTGTTTTGTCCCCCCTCCTTCTTGGTGTCTAGGTTTTGGCTTCTTGCCCTTCTAGGTTTCTAGGTCTCTAGGTTATTTGGCTTCGTGCCCTGCATGGATTTTATTTATTTTTTCATCCTAATAAAGGAATGTTTTCTTTCACATCCACTCCTGCTTCGTGTTGTTCTGGGTATCGGTATTTTGGGTCCATCTCCCCTGGCTCTCAACATAACACAGCTCAGCAGAACACCATTGTAGCTTCTTCTGGGGAGAAAAACACTAACAGCTGAAATAGCAGGAAATAATGCAGTTAAAAAGCAAATTGCAGAAAAAAGTAGTAGAGTGTGGAAAGTGGTCAGTATGTCCTCAAGCAGTCTAAGCCTATAGCAGCATAACTACAGAGATAACTCTGGATAACCTAGCCTTTTATCAATCAATCAATCAATCAAAGCATTATTTATAAAGCACCTTCCGCGACCCTGTCGGGAAGCCCAAGGCGCTGAAGATGAAGGTATGTTGGAGGGAGAGCCGTCTTTACCGACTGTATTCTCCACTGTACACTCCACCTTTCTCTACTCCCCACTCGTCCAGATTTTAACTACAGGCCCTATAAAATAAAAATGTTTTAAGCCTAGTCTTAAAAGTAGACAAGGTGTCTGCCTCATAGACTAAAGCTGGGAGCTGGTTCCACAAGAGAGGAGCCTGATAGCTAAAAGATTTGCCTCCCATCCTACTTTCAGAAATTCTGGGAACCACCAGTAAATCTGCAGTCTGAGAGCGAAGTGCGCGGTTAAGAAGTTATTGTAGTGATAAATATAGATTTATATCTATATTTCAAATGTGGCATAGATTTAGCTTGTGTCATGTTGGGTGGTAGTTTCTTGATCCACGACATGCAGAATAAACTCACAGGAAACAGATAAGTGAAAGAAAAGAGTTTTATTTTAAAACGGGGAGCTCAGAGGAGTGACGGGAACTGAAGCAGCTCTGCACTGGTCGCAGGACTCCAGGAACAAGATTCTGAGGAGGGAGACTGGGTGAATATCCAGTGGAGATAATAGGAGGATCTGTAGTTAGGCGGGAGCTTTCTGTTTGCGGATAGAAGAAAGATGCACGGGAGGGCTTGGTCAGGTCCTGGTGAGCTGAGGAGATCCAGAAGGCGAAGAAACTGTTAGTCCAGAGGAGGGGTTGAAACGGAGGTAGGTGAGGGCAGGTGAGCGGCTGAGAGCGGGCGGCCAGGAGAGGAAACGGTGTGATCTGGAATGCAGGAGTCCGCGGGAACGTGGAGATTGTGGGGAGTGGAATGAAACCTGGAGGAGAGCAGGAGAGAGTCTTAAGGGACCTGTCAGGTGTCAGGTTATCCAGCATATATGTAGGATCTAGCAGGCACACAGGAACTAGCAAATACTGGATCAATAAAACAGGATTGAGACAGGTTAAAGGCTAGAGATACCCAAACTGAGTAATCATCCGGCGTGGTGTAGTGTCACACTGCTCCTTAAATCCCCTGGGCCTTGATGACGGGATCAGCTGCAGCTGGTAGCTCTCAGACACGCCCAACTGTGAACAATGCTCAGAAGAAAACAGGGTTACAGGCAGGCAGCTCACCACGGACCATGGCAGCTTGTTTATAATCTTATATTAATTAATCGGGGCACCACCAGTTTTCGGAACTGGACCGTTGGATTTAATATCTATATCTTCGCAATGTAATCAGTCTCAGAGTTAACGCCACAAATTAACCTAAGGGATGAGTTCTTGACAGAATGTGCCGATTATTCCCGAGAATTGCTAGACAATGATCAGGCGTTATTTGTGTTTTGTTAGTTTATTACAAACATCATTTGTGACAATTGACAAAGAGAACCAAACACAGCTTATTGTTTCATGCATGAGAATAAGTAAGTGAATGAATCCAAAGCTTTATGGCAGGGCTATGACATAACTAGTCTGTAATAAAAATGGACATTTGCTGACACATAGGATTATAGTAACTATTAGGAATAATTTCTGAAAGGGGAAAAAAGGGAGTGTGTGTGTGTGTGTGTGTGTGTGTTCGTGTGGCTCGTTATGGCAGAAGAAGAAAGGGGGTCTTGAGGGCTAAACGTGAATTTCGGATCGAAATAAGACAAGCCATAAAAGAAATGGACTAATCTGAATTCACTAATCGGGCGTAGCACAAAATTCAGCCAGATGAGATGCTTCACAGACCTTTTTTCCGTCGCCAAAGAGGTGTCCTGTGGGCTGGTTCAGCCGGGTCCAGAAGCTTGAATGCGGCCTTCAGGGGCCGTAGGACCCTTTGGCACCTCAGCTTAGGTCAACAGCGTCTGTGGTATGTAGAAGGAGGTGCTCCTGTAGTGGCTTGACTCAAGGTTCCTTCACTTCAGCGGCCTCGAAACGTGGAATTCAGATCGCGAGCCCAAATAATCCCAAACGGAGCCGAATCATCAAACTGTTCCAAATTGCTTTTACTCCTAATGTGAGAACTCGACCGAACACGCAGACTTCCGGTTTCACGTAGGAAGTCAAAACAAAACAAACGGAGTTGCTCCTAAGTTTAACTGTAACTTTTGCGAGCTAATTACTTGACAATTGTAAATTGCCGGGTTCTGCTGGGCCAAGATGGAAACAGCGCGCAGAGATTTGCTTAAGGCATCCTTTGTTCTTTGCTCTGCTAACACGAGGTCTGAACTTCTGGTTTTATAAACTTTCTTTTTGTCACACCCACATGTATTTCACTCCCTAACCACCTGACGGCACTGAGGCTCTTACACATAACCTCTGCCTTTCCAACAATGATCACAATTTACCAAAGTTGGTCCAGATGGGGGTCAAACTATTACTTTAAACAGAGAAGAACAAAATTTTTGTCTTAAAACTGGACAGTTTTACCATTAACATGAATTTTAACTGGAGAAACACAAAATGACAGAGGTTTAACATAAAAGAAAACACAAAACAAACAGTTTAGGTCTATGGCTGATAAGATTTTAACTTAGAGCACCTTGATTTCTATTTTAAAGGTAAACATCCTAAACACCTTCATTGTTTGTAGATAAACAGGAATGCAAGGTTTATAAAGACTCAAGTCATGAAGCTCCCAGGAGGACATTATGGGAAGCTCTACAACTTCCCCCATCTTGAGAAAAGGGTTAGTTTGAGAGTTGATGGAAAGCAGACCAGTTTCTGATATTTCTTGCTCTTCCTGATTGGCGCAGAAGGGAGGCCAGTCAAATTGGTGCAATTTACGATCCTGGGAGAGAGTTGTAGGAGGTAACCAGAATGCTGAAACTGCGGGCCAGTTTCAAATTCCCCCTTTTTTTCTTCTGCTAAATGTGAGAGGAAAAACTTTGTGAAAATAGTTATGTTCTCCTTCGTGTAAATCCGAACAAAGTTAACCTGAGGATATAAATAGTGGATTTCCACTACAATATAGAACAATCAGATCACTGATGTATGATGGAGCTTGATTATTAAGAGCTTTATATGTGAGAAGGAGGATCTTAAAATCTATTCTGAATTTAACAGGCAGCCAATATAGGGAAGCCGAGACACGAGAGATATGATCTTTCTTTTGAATTCTCATCAGAACTCTATCTGCAGCCTTTTGGACAAGCTGAATAATTTTAACTACATTCTGTGGATTTCCTGAGAGTAATGAATTACAGTAATCCAGTCGATGTAATAAATGCATGAACCTGTTTTTCAACATCACTCCTGGAAAGGATGCTTCTAATCTTAGCAATATTCAGAAGGTGGAAGAAGGAAATCTTACAAACCTGTTTAACGTGGGATTTGAATGACATCTCCTGGTCAAAGATAACTTACTTTGTTCTCGGAGACTAAATAATATCTGCAAAAAATGCTTAAGACAGAATTTCTTAATTACAAAGACAGCATGTCACACCTGAAGAGATTGTTTGCAGAGATTCATTGAAATTACAATAAATTTATTAATGAGATAGCAACATGTAACAGATTTCCTTCTGCATGCATGATTTTAAAAATAAATATCTTTAATCGCAATCAAGCATCACAATATGGTTTATGCCTCAGGAGCATACGATGTCTTCGAAACATCATCCACTGGAATCTGATCACCACTTTCATCCTGCGGAACGTTATGTGGTTTTTGCTTCAGCTGATAGACCATAACATCCATGAGAGTAATGAGGTAACAGAATTATTCAGCATTTTAATCATTAATCATTTGTCTTAAAAACTCCAAACTGTTCCTTTGAATGATTCTGAAGTTTGTCCTTCACAGCCTTGGTGTCGACTAATTACAACCGTATACAACTATTTTGTGGTGACAAACTTTTTCTGGATGTTTGTCGAAGGATGCTACCTTCACACAGCCATCGTGATGACTTATTCAACAGATAAGTTGAGAAAGTGGGTCTTCCTCTTCATCGGCTGGTGTAAGTATGCACATGGAATTCACCAGGAATGCTACATTTTGTTGGCCGTGTTAACTTAGTAAAAATAATTGGAATATTCCCTTATAATTCCCAGTGTGATGAAAAACTGGCGTCATGGCTTGTAAAATGACATTGCATGAACTGCAGTGAAAGTTTGGTAATTGAAGCCGTGGCAGCAGTACTTTTGTTCTTGGCTAAACTCGGACTTTGCTGGATGAACACCCCCTCCCCCCGAAAAGAGGCCATCCAGAAAGAAATCCATACTGAATTATGCATTGCTTTTGCATTTGGGAAGGATCCTTATGCTACTGTCACACATGGAACTTTGTGTGTGAAAATAAAAGCTTGTTACCACCAACTGCTCAGTGAAAATCCTCCTCCATAGAATTCTGAATATATGAAGAAGAGTGGACATAAACAGTGTCACCATAATTAAATAGTGACAGGGCAGCAATCAACAACTTCTCTCTCAAACACGCACATGCAATTTATTATTTCTGGACACTATAATAAGGCCCTCAAGCCATATTTTTACCAACAGGAGTTGTAAGCAGAGAAAATGATAAATTGGCGTTACACAACATCAAACAAGTATTCACTCCTCTTAGAAAATTTTGACCATCTTACTAATGGTCTTGTTTCTCTTCACCAACCTTTGCTTCTTAAAAACAAACCATCAGTGAGGCAGACTGGAGCCTGGCCAAGTGGAGTTCATTTTAAATGCAGTCTCCAAAAGCTTCAAAGAAGCCGCCATGTTCAATCAACCAACTTGTAGGAGATTATGCTGAGTTTGTGTCGAGTTGCATAACCGAGTGTATGAAAGGATGTTACAGTAAGCAAAATGGTTTCCACATCGGCCAGTCAGGCAACCTCATGAAGATCACTTCAAATACTTTATTTAGGTTGAGGGACACACATTCTTGGGTTTGCCCGAATCCACTTAAACTGGGATGCAGAGTAGTAAAGTGTGGATGTGTGCAGAAAAGCTTGACTTGTCTCCAGCCTAACGCAGCATCCAATTCTACTTTTGTCAGTTTCTTTTAGTGCAGTAAATGTTTAATTCAGCTGGTTTAAGAAATAAAACGTGACAGAAACGTGTAAAAACAAAAAAAAATACATTTAGGTAATCTCTACTTTATCTTTGATTTGTTTTCACAAAAGCAGAGTCACACAATCGAAAATACAGACTAATTTAGTTAGTCTGCTTCAGACCTGCCTTCATTAATCCTGGAGGGAGTTCCATCACCCAGTCAGACATAACCCTGATCAGAAATGTCTTTTTGTTGCACTAAACTACTTTTTTTTTCTTTTTATTGGGATGATCTAACATTTTAAAGGGATACTTAGCAAATTTTTCATATTTTTAAATCATGTTCTTAAGCCAGTATGTGCTAAAACGACCCTTTACAGGGTTAATGAAACGTCCCTCAGCCCCTAAATTTCCCTTTTACTATTAATACATATAACAAAGTGAGAATTAAACTTTCTTTGCAAGAAAAATACTTTCAAGGAAGATATGGGTGGTTTAATAACCTTTGTTTTCAGTCTTCAATTTTTACTTGTTATTTTAGAAATATAATTAGTCACTCTGAGTTTCACATGCAAGCCAAATGTGAACATTATCTTCTAACCTATTTTTCTGCATTAGCCGTAGATGGAATATTGACGCGGAAACTTCCCAGATTAGAAAAGCCTGTCAGATCTACAACATATAATCAATTTAACATTCATGGACTCATCCATCTTGACTCAGCATGGGGAAGGTTGTTGGTTTAGCATCCCGGAGAGAGCAGAGCACATCTCATTTAGTAGAAGCTAACCATTAGCATTAGCAACTCCACAACATGGCAGAATTCTTTCAGGCTTGTGGTATTTGTGGAAATAAAGCATCAATCAGTACGTTTACATGCAGCCAATATCCGGGTTATGATCGGGTTAAAGTCGGGATTCGGGTTTCTGAGTTGATCAGAATAACCCGTTTACAAGCATAAATAGAAAGAGTTACCTCTAACGTGCATAACCCAATTTAACTGCGGACATTGGGGTAGCGTCAGGACGTATGTACTACGTCCAGATGCAATATGCGTCATTTCCGGTTCTTCTTGTTCTGGTATCCGTGAAAACAACAACATGTTTCCCAGTTCGGAAGAGACAGTGACCGCGTTTGTTTGCGCTTTAGTTTCCTCGTCACTCAAAGTGTGGTGCTGTGCCGCGACTCACCAGTTTGCTCCCAGCTTGTTGTTTACTTCCGGTGTTCTGGCGCGTACAAGACGTCTCGCTACTCAAAAGGCCAAGATTCATTGCGAACAGAGCATGCGCAGAACACACGATTTGATGGGGATATCCCGGTATGCGTTTACACGACCAAGCATTCGGGTTGGAAAAGGGTTACCCCAGGTGTAGTAACCGGGTTTTTTAAAAAAACAGTTATGAGCATATCCGGGTTTTTGGCGGTGTTTACAAGGACCTGCGGAACCGGGTTATTGTGAATATTCGGGTTTTAAAAGGGTTACTGGCTGCATGTAAACGCACTGAATGTTGCTCAGCAAACAGAGTCAGTGGTAGAGTTATGTTGCTGTTAGCCAATCAGAGGTGAGATGTCTGAACACCAGGACATACGAATCCAAAACCTGCCATCTTCTGCTCTCCTCTCGTCTAACTTCTACTTCTTGAAACAGGAGCGCCAGAGCTTTTTTCAAACAGAGGTGGACTCACAATCCATTCATTTTTTTAAAAACTAGAGACCACTTTAAATGTACTGAAAAAATTGTGAACTTGGTCTTTCATTTGCTGAATGTCTGCTACAAGCAGTTCATGCTGTGGTAAAAAAAAAAGTATTTAAGCAAACACCACTAAACCCTAATTTGTTTAACAGCTGTGAGAATGGGCTGAGAGGAGATCGTACCTAAGATATATCTGTAACATTTCTATATTTTGATTTAACACAGCTGAAGCTCATTTCCTGACTTGCCTGTTTAATGCAGTCTGGTGACTTTAATACTGAGATGTTCATAATTCAACAAAAAGGACTGAAATAATATTTTTTTTTTACCTCAATATAAAGAAAAACCTGGGGCTGGTAAAGGTCCAGCTGTTTTTGATTGAGCCTATAAATATTCATGCTCATGTCATGACACATGGTTATTATCACAAAGCTAAAGTGTTATTTTAGAAATTTTGACCATAAATAAAAAAACACACACATTATATTCATTTGCAGAAAATCTAGAATGTTTTTTGAACATATCAAAAACCTGATTTTGTTTCCTGCCAATTTCGTTACGTTAAATTTGTGAAGAGTAATTGGATGAACTAATTTGTTAAAGTTGTTTAACTTGACAAACGTAATAACATTAAAAAAATGTATCATGGATGACTTTCACTCTATTACTCATTACTCTCATATATATATATATATATATATACATATGTGTGTGTGTGTGTATAAACACACACACACACACACACATATATATTATGAGGGTGTACAAATGAAATGTAAACTATTTTATTATTATTAACAATTTTATGACACAAATACTTCTATTTTCCTTTGACAAAGCAGCAGAAGATTTTTTTTCTAATACGTGGATCCATTAGTTGCCTACTCGACCTTTTTAAAGTAAAGTAGTTTTGACTCCTTATTGATGTATTTTCTCTGTAGCCTCTCAAGCCATCAAAATGTTGTTTCTTCAACTAATAAACTACCCTTTCAGAGAAGAAAAAGGGTTTGATTTAAGTACATTATGGGATTATTCTGACCTACTTTTCTAAAAAAAAAACAAGAGCTGACTGCAGCGAGGTTACCACATCAAGAAATAATCTTATACAATGTTAATTATTGTTAGAAAATGTAAAAAGATCTATGTCCAGATATGTTGATTTTATAATTTATTTTAACTTGATGACTTTTTTCAGGTATTCCATGTCCAATAATTGTGGCTTGGGCCATTGGAAAGCTGTATAATGAAAATGAACAGTAAGCATTCAAATAAAAATAAACATTTTATCTACCAATGAATATTTCTTTGGTAACTAGTTTAGGGAACACAAATTAACCATTAAATCGCTGCCAATTATTATGCATATTAGTGGAGTACTAAGTCCGAATTAGTTGTTTTGAAGCTATTGTTAGGTGCTTATTACCAATGCTGTAATTCTAATTTTAACAGGGCATAAATTAAGAGTTTTAGCAAAATAAGCCATTCATAATGGTTTGTTAACTGAAAGTAAATGGTTTATTGCTGATTAACGCACATGCTAATTAGCTCAGATCAATATGTGGCTTTTAAAGAAGTAATTAAGGGGGAGTTGTTATTCTGCAATAACAACCAAAAATATTATGTTCTGGTATTATGTAAATAAACACCAAACTCCACATGTTAATAGAGCAAGAGCAAGAATATGTTCCCCATTCTAAAGTCAGATTGTGTTCATACCTAATTACAAGTATTTGAGTATTAAATAACCACTTAAAGGCAAGAATATGTTACCCCAGATATTGATTTGAGCTACTTAGTATGTGTGTTAATCAGCAACAAACCATTTACTTTCAGTTAACAAACCATTATGAATGGCTTATTTTGATAAAACTCTTAATTTATGCCCTGTTACTGTTAGAATTACGGCATTATTAATAAGCTGTTAATAAGTGCTTAAAATGATTAGTTCAGACTTAGTAGTCCACTAATATGCCTATTGATTGGCAACTAATTAATGGTTAATTTGTGTTCCCTAAACTAAAGTGTTACCGTTTCTTTCATTTAATGTACCTTTTCTCTACCACCAGATGTTGGTTTGGTAAAGAACCAGGAAAATATATGGACTACATTTACCAGGGACCCGTTATACTTGTGCTCCTGGTGAGCTGCACTAAATGCAATCAAAGATTCACCTTCATGTTGGATTATCTGGACGACTTGTGATGTTTTGCACCATTACTTTGACTTGTTTTGTTCTCATCACTTGTTCACAGACAGCTTTGTCTGTTCACACACGATAATTGTCCTCTGTGTTCTTTAGAGAAATTCATCACCTCTTATTTTTTTGTCTTTTTTTTTGTTCCAGATAAACTTTGTTTTTCTCTTCAACATAGTCAGAATTCTCATGACGAAACTAAGAGCGTCAACCACATCTGAAACCATACAATACAGGTAAGTATGTTAAATGTCACACTTTGTTTTGTTTTCAATAAAATAACAATGTTTCCATTAATGCTCCACATTTCCATCAATTATTCTTTTTCCATTTCATTCTCAGGCCAAGAATTTTAATTAAAAACAATAAATCACAAAATCAACCCATAAATGGTTTCTCTAATGGGCCTTGCTAGAACAGATTCTACAAGCAAAGTAAACAATCATTTGAGATAGAAATTAATGAAAAGGACGCAGTGTTCCATAATGTTTGGAGCACTAAATGGTGCTCAGGTTAAATTAGGATAAAAGTATGAAAAAACTATTGAAAAACAAACCATAAAATGTTGAGTAAGAAGACTCAAAGCACTTTACACAGTGAATCATTCATCCATTTACACACAACCAGCACCATCGGCACCTCTAACCCCCACTAGCAGGTAAGGAGGGTGAAGGAGGAGAGTGAGCGAAATCCTAACCCCTGAGCCACCGTCGCCCTGATCTGGATTTGCTTCTTTCTGGACTCTTTGGTTTATAGTGTGATACACAGAATTAATTTAATCTCTAATCGCAAAATTATTTTTCATTGAACTTGATTTTAACTGCGGTTGGGTTTAGTATAGAAAAAATGCTTGGAAAACCTTTTCCAGACAAAAATCCATGCTTCTAGTCTAAAGCTTTTACATGGTCTTTAGTGAAGAGTTTGTTTTTCCTTCATCATGTATCCATTAACATCTCAGCTTTCCAAAAAGTGTAAAAATAAAGGCATGCCTGTTTTACTTATTTGTTTGTTTCAACATTAAAAAAACAATAAGTACACTACATAGTCTTACATTTATTTTTTATTTTTATTGTGGTATTTTAACAACTTAAAGAGCAAGTCACCCCCAAATCACATTTTTTTTGCTGATAAACTATATAAACGAGTGTCGAATCATGCTACAGACACGTGTAGTCAGTAATTTGGCAGTTCAGTGCATCTTGGTTAAAATTCAAATATTCTGCCTAAAACTGTCAGTGTTGCGCTGTCGTCTGGGAAAAATTCTGCACTGTATTTGAATTTAAATCTGCCACCGCTATTGGCTAAGAGGTATGCTATGATGTCATCTGGTATATTATGATGTCATAATGCCATTGTGAGCCTGTGTGTGTGTGTGTATTTGTTAGCGGCTCCGCCCTCTCGGTCTGCCAAGCAACAGCATTTGTTGCATTTTTCAAACATGAAGTGGGAGTGAAGTAAGTTTCTTGTAGGGGGTGACTTGCTCTTTAAAGAGAAGTCACCCCCTACCAGAGTCTTATTCCACTCCCACTTCATGTTTGAAAAATGCTACTAATGCTGTTGCCTGGCAGACCGAGGGCAGAGCCGTTGACAAATATACACACACAGGCTCACAATGGCATTGTGACATCATAATGTATCAGTTAAAATAGCATACCTCTTAGCCAATAGTGGTGGCAGATTGAAATTCAAATACAGCGCAGAGTTTTTACCTGATGACAGCGCAACACTGACAGTTTTAGGCAGAATATTTAAATTTTAACTAAGATACATTGAAGTGCCAAATTATTGACTACACATGTCTTCAGCACAATTAGACACTCATTTATGTAGTTTATCAGCAAAGAAGACTTGATTTGGGGGTGACTTGCTCTTTAATTACACCTGGTTGCTAACATCGTCTGCTCCTGTTGGGAAAATACTGATTTGCATTACAAAGAATATTAGTTTTCACCTTTCTACATGACCAAAAAAATTTGACGTTAAATGCCACCATTACACATTTTTGTGATGATCAGCGCTGCATTCCATTTCAGTAGATGTGCACGATGGTTGTCAACAGAACATGCAGAAGACCCAAAAACTTGTGCTTAATGAAAGAAATCCAGAGTTCTCAGAGGGCACCACCTAGAGGCTGAAACAAAGCATTGCACCTTTAGCCCCTTTCCCTACTTCTGTGATTATGACTGGAAGCAATGCCTCTCATTCATGAACACTCACCTTAAGCTGATCAACAGAGTCAAAACCCATTGTTTTACAAAAAATCTCATGTTCTCAGTCTAGGTACTTTTGCAAACGAGCGTGCATGCTCCATTATTGACTTATGTACGTAAGTGGATGTCGAACACTATTTGCTAATGTTGAGTGGCGCTCCATTCAAATTGTATGGGGTTGTACAGGACAAGGAGTGGGCTAAGTAAGAAAACATTGACATATTGCTTACATTATATTCAGTACAGAGTAAGATTATCACTTATATGGATTCATGGGAAATCATACATAATTCCTAATTGGGGGAGACTGAATTGCTGCTTTAACCAACATAATTTTAAGTCAAATAAACCTTGTTGTAAATGGATCCCTTCAAAAAAAAAAACTCTGTGTCCGAAGGAGCACATATTAATGATGCTGTGCAAATATAAAACGAACAAATTTCAACATCTGCTTAAAATAAGTATGCTTTTCAGTCAGTTCTCATTTTCAAACATTTAACCTGATGGAAATGAATCACCGTGATTATGACCTCTTCATCTTTCTGAGTCCTCTGTTTGCAACTGGTTCAGTAACCTCACAAAGAGCCAATGGCAGACATCAGGATTTGAGATAATATTCTGAAGGCAGTGAAAAGGTTCTGGATTAGATATGTCTGTCATACTTAAATCCTGTATCTGCAGAGGCCAAGGTAATTACTGTGCCTTTTGCGAGAGACTCTTTAATTTAGCCCCACCATTAGCCACTGGAAAGAAGTAGCAAACCTCTCATGTTCCTGATGGCTGAAATGGCAAGCTTGTTTCCAGCACCTGCTATCATTGTTTTCATTTTTTAAGTGGAACAGGAACTCACACAAGAGAACAAAGTACTTGTAGTGTCACAGTAAAGACAACTTCAATCTAAGGCTTCCAGACTGCTTTGGATTTATGTTTTTTTCTAATCAGACACAACGTTTTTTTAGGCAGAGAAAGAATATTTAAAGTGTGTTTAAACTGTGTTCCAGTGCAGGATGCTGAAAAACTAGTTCATGCATTTATTATATCAAGACTGGATTACTGTAATTTATTACTCTCAGGAAGTCCACAGAATGTAGTTAAAAGTCTTCAGCTTGTCCAGAATGCTGCAGCTAGAGTTCTGATGAGAATTAAAAAGAGAGATCATATCTCTCCTGTCTTAGCTTCCCTACATTGGCTACCTGTTAAATTCAGAATAGATTTTAAGATCCTTCTTCTCACATATAAAGCTCTTAATAATCAAGCTCCATCATACATCAGTGATCTGATTGTTCCATACGTTCCTAACCGAGCACTTCGATCTCAGACTGCAGGTTTACTGGTGGTTCCCAGAATATCTAAAATTAGGATGGGAGGTAGATCTTTTAGTTATCAGGCTCCTCTCCTGTGGAACCAGCTCCCAGCTTTAGTTCGTGAGGCAGACACCTTGTCTACTTTTAAGAATAGGCTTAAAACATTTTTATTTGACAGGGCCTATGGTTAAAATCTGATGTTAGCCTAGATCTGGACAAGTGGGGGAGTAGAGGGAGGTGGAGTGTACAGTCGGTAAAGACGGCTCTCCCTTGCCCTGCCTCCAACATGCCTCCATCTAAATAGGATAGATTAGCCAGAGTTATCTCTGTAGTTATGCTGATATAGGCTTAGACTGCTGGAGGATACACTGACCACTTTTCACACTCTACTACTTTCTTCTACAATCTGCTCTTTGTGTATTATTTTCTGCAATTTCAGCTGTTAACTTTATTTTGTCTCAAAGTGTTTTTCTCCCCAGAAGAAGCTGCAATGATGTTCTGCTGAGCTGTGGTGGCCTCATGGAGGGGGCCACCGTCTAGCACACTGCTGCTAACCACTTAAACATTCTCCCTCTCCTGATAATAGCATTTTGCTTTCCTTGACGTTGGATGTGCTACTACTAGTTTATCCGTTTAATTATAGATCCACTAGGATAAATACAATAAAGTTTATCTCTCACCAAATAGAATATTTACTAAGAAATCACAATATAACTATAGACACATTACTTTGTGGCATCTGTAGCTTTCATCACATTTAGTTTTCTTTGCTTTGCTTTCTAATGTGAGTGTGCAAAGTGTGCTTTATGCTTGCTTAGTATGAGGATTGCTGACTTGATGCAATTTGCTGGGTTCCTTATATAGGAAACATTATTTCTGATTGGCTTAATGAACTGACCTGAATTGGAATGTTTATTATGTGGAGTGCCTTGAGACGACTCTTGTCGTGATTTGGCGCTAAATAAATAAAATTGAATTGAATTGAATATATAGGCAAATCGATGATTTTTATATAGGCAAATCGATTATTTTTATTTGTTATGACCAGGAAGATGTAATATTCTATGTAAATATAAAATATTAACCTGCAATATCTTTATTGTAATTATTGAGAAGATTCTAGGATTTAATTCAGAAGATCTAGGTTCTTTGCTTTTTCAGTGATCAACCACACTTGGTGTTATTACAAGAAAGAGTCAGGTTTATAAAAGTAAGAATTTATTTTACAAACAATTTAAAACACGACTAATTAACCAAGCATTTACTGTGAGTGGATGCAACTAAACGTGATGAAGGAACCTATGTGTGAATGCGATGTCAGTCAGAGCTTCCTTATCAAAGTAAGCTGAGTTCTGGTGAAAAGAATTTGGTTTGCTCTATAAGCTATAAAGTTCTCATCATCAGAAGATCATCAGACGCAATCTGTCATGTCTACTTCATCCGTTTTTGAGAGACCCTCTTGGTGGATCCGAAAGTCGCAGGGGTCGGCTGACCTATGGCACCGGAGGGCTGTAGAATACCGTGGTACCGTTTCTTCAGTCCAGAGATGTCTCGGGTCACAACAGCTGGATGGAACCGTGCATCTGGTGGACACTTAAGGAGTCTAACAATATCAGCTTTGTTTCTGCAGGAACTGTTTGCTCATCAGCTTTGCAGAGGCAAAAAGGTTTTGACAACGTGTCAAAATCTTTGATGGTTAAAGAGGTTTTGCTACAGATGGCCGGTCTGAGCGATTCTCTAGAACTGTTGAATCACTCAGCATGAGCCAGTTTTAAGGTTTTGATGCTATGATTTGCACAGCCAATCAAAGGCTGACAGCTTGGGAGATGTTACCAAGACAACTCAGAAACACACCTTCTTTGATACCGGATGTTCTGACTGGTTAAAAGGCCTAGTTATGTGTTGGAGTAACTTAACCGTACTTGTTATGGGCTCGACACACGGGAGGCGACAAATGACCGCGATCAGCGAAATTTGTCGCCGTCGCTTTTATTACCTGACACACGGGAGGTGATCCGCGGCAGCAGCCAGCGGCAAAGCCATCTACGCGTTCTGTTCCATGGCGAAATCGAAACTTCCGTTGTTTTGTTTGGCTGTGTCAGGTTGGAGGGTCTTAAGGTTATTTAAGCGGTTCAGAGTTAAAAAAGTGGTAGATATGATGTTTCACAAGGTGCTGCTAGAGTTATGTGAAGTCTTACTTCTGATTTTACTATATAAAACATAATAATAATCAACTTCTCCTTCATGTTTGCTCGGAGATGTACGGAGCATCCTGTCCGCTCATTGGTCAGTGAATAAAACCTCCGTTGATTGGTCCTCGTCCGAGCGACAGCGATGAAAAGTTGAAAATGTTTCAACTTTCTGGGATCGTGTTGCTGGGTCGCCTGTGCACAACACGTGCACGAGCGCAAAATTTCACACGCAGGTTTTTCGCGTTTCGCTTGGTAGGAGGGAGACCCGCAAATAGCGCTTTGTCGCACATGTCTCATTGAAAATGAATGGAGGAGAGGCGATGTTGCCTCCCGTGTGTCGAGCCCATTCTTGTGTGAATGCAGGTGTGAGGACCTTGCCGTATAAACATGCTGAACACACTGCAGTGATAGACATAACATAACATAACATCCATTCAGTGAGCACAGATTAATGAATCATTTCATTATACTATAATTATTATTAGTAGTAATAAACAAATGTTTATTTAATGATTATCTAGATTATATGTCATGGAAGAAGTATATATTTATTTAGGAAATAATTCTTGAATTTGGCAATTGATTCGAGCTGGAGTTCTTCCTTCTGTGGAGGCAGACAGATGGGACCTTGGGAAAGAAAGCTATTGTTTATCTTTCAGACTTGCAGAGTCTGTGAGTCCCAGCTGGTATGAAGCCAGGCTCATTTAAAGGGAACATATGCACTGTTGTGTCTCTTTTCTGACCAGATGTTGAATAGATGTTGAAAGGTCAGACTGTACCTAAACTGACCATTGCTGGACGTTACATGGATGTATATATATATATATATATATATATATATATATATATATATATATATATATATATATATATATATTAGGGTTGGACTTGAATAAAAATTAATTTAATGAATTAGAAGCTTTGTAAATAATTAATCTTAATCACATTTTAATCATTTTAGACATTTTGCCTCAAAGCAATTTTAAATTGAAAATAATGTTAATGAGGCACATACGACATATACCTACACTTTAATGAATATATCACTGTAACCACAGGTCTCATTATATACGTTAATGTAGCAATTAATACATATTAATTATGACCAATAAGATGTGATGATTCCATATAATTGTGAAATTTAAATCTGATTGATCTTTGAATGTTTAATCAGAAGATTATACTTTTACTTGTTCAGGGACCATAAACACACTTTGTATTAATTCAGACAAAGTCAGTATATAGTTTATAAAATGAACTTAATTCTTTTTCCTAAACTAATAATTTATACATGACAAGATGTGAATAATGAGATGTGGTGTGGTGGATGTGAGGTGTTGTGATGGAAGCTAGATGTTGTAGCAACCGTCCTTCGTATCCAAGAGAAATTGTGAAATCTGGATGTAAAAGAATTTGTTGTTTATTAAAAACAGCATCAGACGCAATCTGTCATGCCAAGTCTACACACCCTTGGTGTGGAGGTTCTCGTTCGATCCGGGGGGTCGATGGTCACTGCCGGTGGAGTGAACTCTGATATCAGGAACCCGTAGACAATTCCGATAAGACCCATCCAGTCTGAGATCCCTTTAGGTAAAGCCCAAAAGCTGGAATGCTTATTTGCATCTAAGGTTGATGTTTGTTTGGCTCTTAGAAGAGCCGGTTGTCTGGTATCAGCCGCAGCGTTGCAGAGAGGCTTTGACAGGAGGTCAAAAGGGAAGATGGTTTCAAAAATGCTTCTTTCCCGAATTGGCCAGTTCAAGGGTCAGTGAGAAACTGAATTAATTGGGAAGTAAATCCTGTTTCAATAAACTCATTATTTATCATTTCCAGTGTATTCTGGCACATCAGAATGGGCCATGTCTGGAAGACTTTACCAAAACATTCCTCAGAAAGCCATGCCTTCTTGCAGATACAAAGATGTTTTTAACCTTAATATGTATTTTATTGTAATGTGTATGAGTGTAAACAATAATTAACTTGTTAAATCAAACACTTACTGGTTTGTGATATAAATGGATCATTGTAAGAACAATATTCATTTCAAATTCATTGATTTATGCACAGATTATTCAAACATTTCATTTAAACATCTTGTTCATTAATCACATATGATTATTTAACTTATAACTATAAAATCGTGGAGTCTTCACTTATTCAGAGTGAAGAATGTTGACGTCTGACTTTCACAGAGAGTGCAAGAACCTTGGGAGAGAACATTTGTCTGGATGTTTGGTCTTCTGTATGTAAACACGCACTGAACAGAACCGTCTGGATTTAGAAGGCCAAATAGAAAGTGGATTCATGCTGTAGATGAAAGGTTACTATGTTGGTCAATATATATAGGTCAAAACCGACCTTTTGGTACGTTACATTAGCATTGTGGGATTTGTTGGAATGTGTATATATTTGCACATTGCACATATATATATATATATATTGGGCAGCAGTAGCTCAGGTGGTAGAGCGGGTTGCCTCATGATCGGAGGGTCATGGGTTTGATTCCAGCTCCCGCCAGGGGTATCCTGCTGTTGTGTCCTTGGGCAAGACACTTCACCCAACTTGCCTGTGTTAGTGGTGGTCAGAGGGGCTGATGGCGCCAAATGGCAGCCTCGCCTCCGTCAGACCTCCCCAGGGCGGTTGTGGCTACAAGTAGCTTACCATCACTAGCAGTGTGTGAATGTGAGTGTGTGAAAGTGTCTTTGGGTGTCTTGAAAAGCGCTATATAAGTTCAATTATTATTATATATGCTGAACACTAGGTGGCAGTAGAGCACTGCTTATATATATATATATATTATATATATATATATATATATATATATATATATATGTGTGTGTGTGTGTGTGTGTGTGAGAGAGAGAGAGAGAGAGAGAGAGAGAGAGAGAGAGAGAGAGAGAGAGAGAGAGAGAGAGAGAGAGAGAGAGAGAGAGAGAGAGAGAGGTGTAGTGTAGAGTTCAGGGGAAGTTCTGCTGAGAGTTATAAGATGAATACTACATGTATGCTGCTGTAATAAATTTGACATACCTTCCTAAATTTTTATTTATTTTTCTTTCTTTTTTTTAGAAGAGCGATTTGACATATGTATATATACACATACACACACACACACACACACACACACACACACACACACACACACACATATATATATATATATATATATATATATATATATATATGTATATATATATATAATCATAAGCACCATTATTTTTAATATTTTTATTTTTAGGAGGGTGTAGCATTAAATTAAATGCAAACAGAATGTCAACATCTCTTCTATATTATACTATGACAATGTTTAACAGGGATGAATCAAATAACGTTTACCTTTTAAAAAATGCCATTCCCTGTTTCAACAGAAAAGCTGTGAAAGCCACGCTAGTCCTACTACCTCTGCTGGGTATCACCTACATGCTGTTCTTCGTGAATCCAGGAGGGGATGACATCTCACAAATAGTTTTCATCTACTTTAACTCCTTTTTGCAATCTTTTCAGGTGAGAGTGAGAATATTTATGTAGTAGAACAGTGATCCACTTTAAATAAGCAAACCTGACACTCTGTGTCTGTAAGGAACCATTATTGTGGACTTTTATCATGTCTCTGAGCTGATTTTGAGCTTTCCTGTGGGAGGATAATTCTGGCTAGCATCCTGGCGGTGCTTACACTGACTCCGTCCCTCCTGCCTTATGTTCAGTGCTCTCAGCTGTCAACATTAACGGGGCCATGTGGGCATGATTACTGCTCCGTGCGCTTCCCTTTTTTTTAAAATCTTTCTGTGATCTTGTTGAACCGAGTAAAAGAATAACAAATAATTTCAGACAGAGTTTCAGCACTTTTGCCATAACAAAATTCACTCCTAAAATAAATTCTTAATTTCAATGTTTCTGCCTCTCTAATGACTACATCATTTGAATTGTGTGATCTTTTCATCTAATTATAATGCGTCTTACTGTTTCAGGGATTCTTTGTGTCGGTGTTTTACTGCTTTCTAAATGGAGAGGTGAGTCACTACAGACTGTCAGCAATGTGCCTTTTGATTTATAATTTTAATAATTAGCCTCGTGGACTTGTTGAAATTGTTAAATTCCCTTTTATATCTAATCTACTGTGAGTTATATTTTTGTTTAAATTCAGTCTGGCAGTAGCAGCAGCTTCAACAGAAATAAAAGAAGAGATATTTTACCTTTGCTCTGTTTTCAGGCCTTAAACCTGAGAGAAATCCTTCACTAAGTGCTGCCATTTTCCTCTGATTAAAATAAAAGCAGATTACCAGAAACCCAGCAGCTGTTTGAAAGTGATTAAAGCCAATACAAGCATTTGATGGTAATTATGAAAAATGATGAACCCTCTCCATGCTCTCGTTCATCCCAGTTGGGAATGTAGAATTACTAACTTTGATGAGGATTTGCAATTTAGTAGAAAGTATTCATTTTTGCAATTTTTTTTAGCAAAAGAAATAAAAGCAAGGGGCAACTTTTGTTTTTTATTGCAAGACTTTTTTGTAATAAATTGGCCATACTTATTTAAAATCAAACTCAAACAATGATCTTGTTCTTTATTTTGTAGTTCATGTTTTATTTTAAAATTTTAAATCTGTTACACATTAAGGTGCTATTTAGTGTAAATCCAGAATCTGTCCCTAAAAGAAAGTGCTACGATCAGACAGACTGGAAACAGGAAATAAGCAAAAGCTTTGCCTCTGGTGTTTAATCAGTCTGATTTTCATTCGAATGAAAGATTATGAATTGAATGCAACTAGATAAAATCATCTGTTCTTATAGACCTAATTTAACCAGCAAATTCAGCCTTCATAATGTCGTTCACCGCTGTGTTTTTAAAACCTCTGCACATTCTGTAATCCAATCTCACAGTTTATTGCAACAACATGTTCTCTTTTTGTTTTGACTACATGTTTTAACCCTCTCAGGCTCAAAATGAGTTTTGATAAAAGGATGAACAACCAAGTCCTTCAGGGGTACTTCTGAGTTAAAAAAAAAGCTCATGAAATACATTTGTGGAGTAACAGGTAGGTTTTAACGTTGCAAATCTGCAACGCCTGCCTCCAGAGGTTTAAAGGAGCAGTATGTATTCTTTGAGGTAACAATGCTAATGATGAAGTAGAAACAAATAGCCGGCTCTAAAAATATCTCAAGCTACTTTTTCAATAACCAACATCTCAATATTACAGTGAAATGTATGTGTGAAATGAATAATGAGTCAATGGAGGTGTTTTGCTTCATTTTAATGAGAACAGGGTTAGGGATTAGGATTCAGAACAGCAAGCTAACAGCAAGATGGCAAACAACAACCCTTTTTACAAGACACATTGTGCCAGCAAATCAGCGTAATATTACCGTAACGGTGTGTCTTATACAGTAAGCACACCATGCCAGCATAACGATGTGCGAATTTTGCGGCCTTCTTTCTGCCTCGCGTGGTAGTAATATTACGGTAATTGTCTGTCTGACCACTTATAAACGGCCTGAGACTCCTGATTGCCGCTTCAGCGTTGCGGCAAATTGGCGGCATTGTTTTATAAAAACGGCTAACCACATTTTCCTCTTATGCAGGAGAAATATTATCGTAATAAGTTTAGTAAGTGCTCGATTTGACAGTCACATCTCTTCAAATTGGCTTTCGGGTGGTGAAATCCTCCGGTTGGCCATAACAGTGTGTTTTCAGCTTTTCTGCTTATTTTTCTATATCCGTTGCACAGTTTAGTGCCTTACCCATATTTTAATTGTTTGGTTTGCCTTTTATGTTTTATTTCGATGTTTTGTACGTTATACTGCCTTGCTTTATGCTCTTGTTTTAGGTGTTTTGCTTTTTGAAACTTTGTTTTACTCACCGTTTGTCGGGGGCATTTAACTTTGTAGTAATTTAGCTAGTTCTACTGCCCCTTCTTTGTTCAGCACTTTGATCAGCTGACACTCTGTGGTTAAATGTGCTTTACAAATATATATGGTATGGTATGTTACCGTAAAACACCCAAGAGTGCTAACACCAGATATGACAATGTTTTTATCTACTTATTAATTTACTGTTTATGACTCGTCTTTGTTTTTGCCACTTAAAATCTTCTGGTGCTGATCATGGCCAACAGCCATGAAACTTACAGAACGGTAGTTGGAAAGTGATTTTATTGCTTAGAAAAAAGGACTGCAGTTACCTCATCATGTGACTACATGAGGTCATTTTTACATATTGCACCTTTAATGAGAAATAATTTCATGAAACGTTTAAGTTTAAATCTGTGAACTCTGCTGTTTCTACCTAAATTTTCATTTTTCCTGAGGCTGTCTCGCCGGTCAGTTGTATAATCAACATGTTGGCTATATCAAATAATGTTCTGGGCATACCCACTTAACTTTTTATTTATCATGTCACATCATTTGCATGAATGCATTTGTATTTATGCTAAATCCTACAACATGTCCTAACTGTTTCAGGTTCGTTCGGCTGTTAGGAAACGTTGGCATCGCTGGCAGGACAACCATGCTCTTCGAGTGCGAGTGGCTCGAGCCATGTCCATCCCCACATCTCCGACCAGGATTAGCTTTCACAGCATCAAACAGACCACCGCTGTGTGAGCACAGAAACAAACACCCTGAACCTGACAAGCATCTAAATGGAAATAAACTTCATGAGTTTCTTCAGCACGAGCAACAAACTGCAAAACAGATTTTCTGCAGAACGATCACAATGCAGCACATCTGAGTGATTTTATCACTGTTCTGCTGTTTAGTGATTAATACATAGGCAGGATCTACAGTTCACACACTTAACCAATAATACTTGAAATGTAACTGATTACGATGCATCCATCAAACCAGCAACTTGTTTCAAATATGATCAAAAGCAAAAAGTTACACATTGACTTAACTTTTCCTCTGACAAAGATTTTGTTACAGATTTACTGTCTTATTTATTTTTCATTTTGCTATTTGTTCTTCACAATTTTTGGTTTGCAAGATAATTAAAGTCAAAAGAAACAGAAGGAGGATGTCTGAACTCTTCGAGGCTGCAAGATGAGCAGTCCCACACTGTACTGTAGTGCTTTCCCAAAACATAAATATAAAATAAATGTTATTGTTTTACAAAGTGAAAATGATTTTTATTCATTTATGCAATGTATACACATGGTACATTAGGTGATGTGCACGGGTTTTGATGTGCAAGCACAGTAAAAGCAGATTAAATTCTTATTTGGGCTTATGAAATCCTTGTGGCTTTCTCATAATCAGTGTCACAACTAAGCCTCTGCTGCTGAAGAGGAGAAGCCGGAGGAGCGGGAACCAGGCTCTCCCTTAAGCCTCGCTCCGTTCAGGTCACCATTTTCTCTCAATGTGATCTCGGCTATCATGCCTCACAAGGCTAATCCCACCGGAAACAGGCTCGTCAGTGTTGTGACTTGGAACAACAAAAACTTCACTTTTTTGCTGATGGGTAAAAAGAAAGCAGATTGGATTCATTTCAAAAGGGATTACAAAATATGAAAGCCTGTTCTGTGTTGCAAACTTCAAATTTCATGCTGGCATTCCTCTGTGAGTCATCGCATTGACGATTTGATTTGTCATGATGTCACCCAGAATGTTTGCGGAAAGATTTGGGCCAAAAAGCTCATTTTAATATTTTAGATAGATGAAACAATAACATTGTGAATTTTTTAGCCCATTTAGCTGTTTTTGTTGTATTGATGTATTACTGTGTATTTCTTAAGCACTTACTAAAGATTTGGAGTTTAGTTTTATGTATTTATTGAACTTTTGAAGTATTTCCTTGGGTGTAAAAATGTAAAATGAAACTTAATGAACATATTTTTTAACATGTTGTATTTGTGAACGTTGCACAGAACTTTTACTCAGTTGTTCATGAGCTTTTAACATTTGTATTCTATAATCTTTGTTAAATGGCAGTGAGCACCAGTGTTCTGCTTGACTGGACTGATGATGGCTGGTTTATGAAATATTGATGATCTGGAGTGATTTGATGTAAATATTTTACCTGCATCGCTGCATCATCACAACATGTGCAGTGGTAATTTCCTGCACATCCCTCCATGACCTCAATAAGATCTACAAACGAAGAAAATTACATTGCATTTATTAAAAACAACATCTTCATGAACAAGTTTTAACAAGTCATTTCTTCAAACTCACCAAAGAGATCACTCGTATTTTTTTAGTCACGTTTCCAATGGATTTTGTTCAAATGAAACCAAGTTTTTCTTATTTTATACATTAGTTATTGTGCATTAAGTGTACGAGACGGTTTGATGTCAAACCTTTTTATTTGATAAATAAGAAACTGACCCATGTTGCCTTAAAAACAAAAGGAAGTGCATTTTTGTGACAAGTAAGCTATTTCCTGTTTTTGAAAACTATATTCAATGCCGTTGTGATATTTCCACTTGTACTTTCATGTAAAGAAAAACCATTCTGATTAAACTAATACCACTAATTTGTTCTACTGAAGCTTGTCATTTCGTGGCTTATAAACATAGCAGCTAAAGATATAATTATATTAAATTAATCATGGAAGGTAAGATGCCCTGAGAGAGCTCCTGCTGGATGCAGTTTCATGCATTTCAGGCTGAGCTGCAGTGAAATGGAGCAGAAACTTCAGGCTTTGCCATGCTGGAACCCTCAGGACTAAACGTACGCATCCCCAAACAAAGAATCAGACAAAAAAACAGCAGATGTGATCTGTCCCCTTGTTAATTAATTTTCATCATTTTTATATTAAAGTGCAATCAGCTAAAATTAAACAGCAGTCAGAAAATTTTAATTGCTTCAAGTTTTAAGTGCGACATACTTTTAATGGGCTCCATTACAGGCCTCCATAGTAACTTCATACACATTAAAGGTATGTGTCTGAGTGCTAGTATCTAATGTGGCATAAACTACACGACTAGTTATAAAAAAGTCATGTTTTTATGTTCAGTTTGAAGTCTGAACTTGTCAACTTTTAGTTTGACAAGTTCAAGCTGAAAGAAACTTTTTTGAGTGAACCCGGATCACAGACCGGAGTTGTGAAAACCTGAGACACTTTTATCCGACTCTGGGTCTTGAAGAGATGCTGTAGCGGTTGTTGTGGGAGATGGGACGTCTATTTTTGGAGTTTGACTCATGCTTGAAATAAAGTAAGGATGTTTTTATTTTAACAAGGATACACTCAAGTCATCATACTAAATCTAACTGGGCCTGCACTAAAGAAAATAGTGTTTATTCAACTTCAATTATTAGCTTCAATTGGAAAAGAGTTATTGAATTAAGTTCATCCATGATAAATTATTTAATGTTATTAAATTTGTCAAGTTAAACATTTTAACAAAACGGTTAATTAAAGTACTTTTTACCAATTTTATGTAACGCAGAGCAGTGTTACAAGTGGAATTACAACTACTGTAAGCAACCCTGCAGCAGCATAATGTAGCCAAGCGCTACCAAAAAACGAGATAACACTGACATGAAACAACTCTAACTAAATAAGCCACAAATCAAATAGATCCACTTTGTTGGACCAACAGCATTATTACTGAGTTAATTCCTACATTTCCAATAGCAACAAAGCCAGGTCACCATCAGCCTGTGATTTCATAGCCTTTTTCAGCTTCCTCAAGCTAGTGTAGACCACGGCGATGTTTACTTTGGTTTTAGCTCTTTACTTCACCTCCAAATACGTTACCCTTTTAGTTTTACTTCCAGGCTCTGCCATGATAGTAAAGCAAACTTCTTATTTTTCTTCTTCATGTGCTTTTAATTGATGATCATCAAACTTAAAAAGCTAACATTGTAATGCAGGTATAAGAGCACCCTCTAGAGCACCTACCCACTCCACAAAACTGGTAAGTGCAATATCTGACCAGCAGTGGGCTGCAAAGTGGTGCCAAATATGAAACTGGTCAAGTTTCTAACCCAAAAATCACTGAGATCAATGTTAAAGCTCTAGCTTAATGTAAAAAAAAACTATTTAGTGTTACTCTACTCAATTTGTTTAAGTTGGATGAACTATTCCATTTTTTGGTGAGGCAGGTCCAGGTCGGTGCACACAAGAATGAGAATGCACAAGTTTGATGAGAATAAGGCTGATGCTACTGTAGGTCAGAGAAGGGCAAGCTTCAGACCTGATAATCCACAGACTAAATCTGACAAGGATGGTGACAGAAGGCTTACTTAGAGGCAGGCTGGGTTTGCAACTGTGAGGAAATCAAGAAACTGTGAAACACTGGAATGCTGGGCAGGAAGTCCATCTGGCAATTGTGCTGAGGAGCAGAGCTCCTCGTAAGATGCAGACGCAGGTGGCATTGCTCTACTGAATTCAGAGGCTCAGCTGTGCCTTATTAGTGAAGCTGAGAATGAGGTGGAGCAAGAGAATGTGACAGAACTAGAGTTATTCATGACAGTACCCCTCCTCCCTGAGATGCCTCCAAACAGACCCTCGGATTGGTCAAACCTATGGAAACAAAACCTAATCCAGGGCCCATGTGCACTTTACATGGCCACATAGGCGTGTAGCGATAACTTTATATCTAGATTTCAAATGTGTCATAGATTTAGCTTGTTTAATTGTTTATAACCTCATATTAATTAATCGGGGCGCCACCAGTTTTGTGGAACTAGACCATTGGATTTACTATCTACATCTGCTCATAGTATTCAGTCTCAAAGTTAACACCACAAGTTAATCTAAAGGATGAATTCTTGACAGAATGTGCCAATTATTCTCGAGAATTGCTTGAAATGGTCAGGCTTTTTTTTTTTACGTTTTTGTGAGTTTATTACAAACATCAGTTAAGGCATGGACAAAAGGACCAAACACATCTTATTGTTTCATGCATGGAATTAAGAAGAAAAACCCTAAAGTAGTATTTAAAGTAGTTTTCCTACCTTTTCTGTTTTCCTATCTTGAGAAAAGGGTCAGTCTGAGGTTGATGTAAAACAGGCCAGTTTTCTGATATTCGTCCTGCGCCTCTGGATTGGCGCAGAAGGGAGACCAGTCAAATTGGTGCAATTTACAACCTTGAGAGAGAGTCGTAGGAGGTAACCGGAACGCTGAAGCTGCAGACCAGTGTCACGTTTCCCTTTTGTTTTTCTTCTACCAAATGTGAGAGGAAAACTTTGTGAAAATAGTTGTGTTCTTCTTTGTGTGAATCCACGAAAGTTAGTCTGAGAATATAAAAAATGTGGATTTCCGCCACAGACGTTAGCATTTCCAGTTAACCAGCAGGAGTAAACGCATATTTTTTAAGATCTCTACTTCTTGAACATAATTTGTACATTCTTAAAATTTGTGCTTTATTGAATCCTTTGCATGTTTTCCACCCTCTGAACAATAACACATTAGCATTTTAAACTTAAATAGATGCATAATTTTTAGTATAAACTGTTGTGTGCAGGGATACTGCAGCCTCACAAAAAGACATCTCGGGTCTGAATTTCTTTGGTGGCATTTCTCTGTGTGGGTTTATTATTCTGCACCATGCATGTGTGAATTTCCTCCAAACACTCTGGTTGCCAGTCCAGAAAATTCATGTCAGGATAATTAGCAATTCTAAAGTGACCTTATGTTGAACGTGTGTGTGTGTGTGTGTGTGTGTGTGTGTGTGTGTGTGTGTGTGTGTGTGTGTGTGTGTGTGTGTGTGTGTGTGTGTGTGTGTGTGGTCTTGCATCGACTGTGCAAACTGACAGCTTGACCAGGATGAATCCTGATTCATCTTTAAGGTCAATGACCGAGATGGTACGGCTCCCATCTACCTGAATCCTCTTGCAAAGGCTTACGTCTCGGCCCGGCTGCTCCGGTCATCACAGGATCGTCGGCTAGCAGTGCCTACACCACGCTCAGGACAATCCAGACTCTTCTCATGCACCGTTCCACAAATGTGGAATGACCTACCAAGCACTCCCAGAACAGGGGCTTCCTTTTCAATTTTCAAGAAACTCCTGAAGACCCTGCTCTTCAGAGAGCATCTTCTAAACTATACCTCCCTGCACTCGTCCCCCCTCTCTACTGTCCACTCCTTGTTCCCTCCTCTCCATGACTGATGTCCATTTGTTGTTATTATTGTTGTTAGCCTCAAGGTCAACATACCGATTATCACTCATCAGTCGCTTTGGACAAAAGCGTCTGCTAAATACCCAAACATAAACATAATCATTAACAATGTGCTAAATATTGACCATTGTGGAATATTATGAAAACCCCTTTTATGCAAAAATGGAAAATTGTCTTCAACATGAGACCCTGGTCAAAAAAATAATGATCATGCAGTCTTCATAAAAGTACTTTTGACTGTTTTAGGGTTCATTTTTCACTTCATGCTAAAGCAGGAGTTCCAAATAATCCCATAAACAACCTCAAATAAAACATCTTATTTTTAGCATCTGATTTTATGAGTGACAACACTGCTGGTACCTGCAGCCATATTGAGGTCCCAGCTCTTTCCTGCTACGGTGAGTTAACCAACAGTGAAACCCTGATGTAAAATGAGCTGTGGATCATACCAAAATGTGGACATTTACAACAGTCTAGCACCAAAAGCATGCATCTGGGCTGAAAAAAAGGGGGAAAAATAATCAAACTACATACGGGTGTGAAAATACAACTTTCTAAATATTTTTTACTTTTCATATTCATATATTATTTTCATATTTATACAGTATTGTAAGTGATTTTAATTAAAATAAAACACCTGTCATCAAATCAGTACCAGACAAAGGCTTTAAAACTGTAAAATACTTTGTTTGTTAAGATTTCAGGTGAATAATAAACAAAATTCAACTTTGAATTTCAGTCTGCACTGACAGAGAAAGGAAAACAACGTTATTTATATTTCATTGTTCTGCAGCCAAAAGGGGTGTTTTTAAAAAAAGGCTAGTGAATGAAAGATCCCCAGTGTTTGGAATGAAATAAAACGTTGAATACCAGCTCCCTCTGCTGGCTGAAGAGAGGAAGTGCCATTCTTGACAGATATTTTGTACATTACCTTGCAATGTAATGGATACTTTTTGCACATATTTAGAATTATATCCTGTTTGCCATATTTTAATTGTTAATATATATTTGTAACATGATAACATTTTGTTTTAAATGACCTGCCCTTATTAGGAAATATTAAAAACAGCTAAAGTTTTTGTTTTCTCTTCATTTATTTAACATTGTCTGAAACCATTTTTGTAATTTTGAACTCTACAGATCCATGCTCTTAACAGCATAACTACATTCATTTACTAAGATAAAGAAAACGTAGAAAGGACCACCACATCATTAATTAGGAGGCTTTAAAACAAGGTGAAGCAATAATGAGTCGACAATAAAGGTGAAAATATACAAGGATGGGATTTACTTAAAAACACAGATCTCCTGGGATGTATTTGGGTTTCTAGACTCACTTTCCGTTGTTCTAAATATGTCATGTGAACACCAGATTTGCACTGAGTCTAAAACAGATAACTGCTTTTTTAGGATGCCATGATGTACTTTACAAAAGCCTCATAATTTATGCACCCATTCGCATCTTCTTGGTTTTGCATCAGCTGCTCCACTTCATCCTCCCTCATCTTCTCACCTGTAATCAGGAAACATTTCCATTCAGCCTGAGTCGTTTAGTTCATAACCTTCTGAGATCATCACATATTATGATAGGCTCACCGAGGGTTGCTAAAACGTGTCTGAGCTCAGCACCCATGACCGTCCCATTCCCCTCCTTGTCGAAAACCCTTAAACCCTCAACAAAGTCTTCAAATGTGCCACGATCCTTGGCTCTGCAGATGTGCTGGTGGATTGGGAGGAACTGCTCAAAGTCAAGCATTTTGGTCTGCATATCTGTGGGAAGCAGCAAGAAAATGATCTAATCTTTTGCATGTAGGGAAGAATAACTTGCATGAAGTAAGAGTGACATCTTGTGGTCTAATTTAGATACTGCAGTCCATGCATTTAAGTAAAAGAGCCTGCTCTCAGCCACTCCCCTTTGTGAGTTTCATGGTGGATGCCATTTATGGGTCACTGCCAGAAGATTCTAGAGACAAATGAGACGAGTCATTCACAGTAAGTTGATAGGTAGATGAATGCATTTCGAGTTGTTGGTGTTTGAAAAAGTAGCTTGAGATATTTTTAGAGCAGACTTATTTCTTTCTCATCTGTCCTGAAATTTATTTGGTCCCTCAAATTTCACTTTTAAAAAAGGTTGTGAATGTTGAATTTAGTATTTTTTTCTCTCCTATTGTTGTTCAATTTTTGGGAAGGACACTGTGGCTTCTTAGGTTTACAAGAAATATCTTCTGGGCCGCTCCTTTTACTAGCTAACATCCTGCCCACAACGCTGCTTCTATTTGCCAGCTGAAATATCTTGTCGGGGCAGTACTTCCATTGAAGACTTTGCAACCTTGTGGGCTCACATATGATTTGCTCTGGAACCAGGCAGTCTGGAGGCAGGGTAGATTGTAAACAAAGACTTCGTCCCTCTTTGGCCTTTCTGAAGCAACACCAAAGAGGTTTTACTCATGTAAGCTACTGCTTTGAAATTGGATTCAGTTATTCTCGAGATAGAAAGTTTACCAACTTCAGACTGGACAGCACTTTGCAGCCCTCTGCTGACCAGAAATCACACTTAACAGTTTTGTGGCTTGGGTAGGTTTACCAAGGGGAGCTGCCTGCTTAAAGGCTGTTAGCTGTTTACTGTGTTGGTAGCTAATATAAAGGCTAGCAATTAGCCAATTCAGTTCACTGATAAAACGCACAAGAGAAAGAAAAAGAAGAATTTTCTGTTTCATTGACATCATGGTGGAGCCTGGAAGTAAAAAAGGAAGAGTAGTGTCTTGGATGGAAAGCAAAGAGTGAACATCGGCACAGCCTACACTAGCTTGAGGGAGCTAGGAGGCTATAAAAGCATGGACTGATAGTGACCTGGCTTCTTTGCTACTGGACTCGTAAGTAATATTTTTTGTTTTTCCAACAATGTGGATCTTTTGACATTGTGGGTTTGGCATAAGTTATCTCGTTATCCGTGTTTCCATTTCTGGAACTTCAGGGTAAACTCACCAGAACCTCTTGACATGTGCATGGTTCCACTTGACCGGGCAGGCCAAATAGCAATTTTCCGGGTCGTTTTCAGGAAACTTCTAAGTACCTGCTCAGAAATAGGTACTCGTAGTGGCCCAGCAAAAGGCTCGGTGCAGTTGGTAGCTGGGAACACCGTCTATTGGTAGCAACTCAGTCGAAAATGACGTTGTCGTAGGAAAAAGGAAATGCATACGGGGCGGAGAACCTGTATTTAGGAAAACATGAGTTGTTGGTGCATTCTGCACCAATCGGTGATGTAACTCACGATGCAGCAGTTGGGATGTGCTGGTGTTTCAGCACATTCCTTACAGGGCCAAACTGTAAATGGAGGCAGGACAGCTAAGAAGACCGGGCCTTGGGATCGCCCAGTCAATTTCCCTCTTGCTGCATTTACCCTGAAGTTCTGGCAAAGGAAACTCACCTGTTGTTTGCCTTAGCTACAACAGGCTGCACCAGGGTTGTTTACTATCATTGTAATTCCTCTTTTAACAGGTAGGAGGAAGAAATGGGGAAACTTAATCAGTGTTGCTTTAAATGGAGAAAACCTGGTAACCACCCAACCGGCCGAGAAGGAAATCTGTTTCAATGTGACCTTCCTTCCAACATGATTGAGACATTAGACTGTTTGGCAAGTATTTCACAGTAAACTTCCTACTTATTGCTCCTTTAACATGCCACATAACCAACCTTCAGGTTTAGGTTTTCCAAGAACATGCATGATCTCTGCATTAGTAGGATTCTGGCCCAAAGCACGGATCAGGTCCCCGCACTGAGCGTAAGTGATTTTCATCTCACTTGCTGGTGTTCGATCAAACAGCTGGAAAGCATCTTTGAAGTCTGTAAACAAAACAGCCATGATGCATTTTTATCCATTTCATTGTCGTCCAAAAGCAGATAAATCATCTGTAACCGCACACGTCAGATAAAAACGATAACTAGAAGAATCCAAACCATGGAAGCCAGACTCTATGGGAAACTGACTTGAAAGGATTAAAAATAACTATTTAGCCAAAGTCTGATCTACAGTAGTGCATCACCAGCTGTTGCCAAACGTTTCTCACACAATGAGGAGATTAGTGTGTGAGCAACCATTTATTCTCTATAAATAGCTCACAGTCCATGGGTCACACACGACACACAGCCTCACCTTCAATTTGTTCAGGAGTGAATTCCAGCTGAGAAAAAACAAAATAAACAAAGGAATACGAGGATGGAGATCATTCCACGAAACAGACTTTATTTAAATAATATAGACTAAATAAAGCAAAGAAGAAAAAAAACCTGTGCATCTTCGAGAAGAAGACCTTCACTTCTAAATAACTACAGTCTGCATCATTTGATTTTATATTTACTGCAGTTTGCAGTAAAGAGACGCTACTTAATTTCATTGGGATCTAAAAAAAGTTCAAATGTCAAGATCAAAGCAAAAGGTTGGAGACATTTTGCACAGCATGCAAATTTAGAATGACAAAAACATTTAGTTTTTCATTCTGGGAGTGGCTTTCCTTCAGCTTATTACTAAAATTAAACATTACAACATTTTAAATGACTGTTAAAAATAAAAAAGGTCAAAATTATTAGACAGATGTGTTTTAAATTAGATTTACCACATGTTCTGCACTCCTGTTAGAAACCAAATATCTTTCACAATAACGTTTTAATCTCACTGCATTTGGTTTCCAGTCATTTGGTGCCCCGAACTTTAACATCTGGTTTTTTTTGCAAACCACAAACTTTAAGAAACCGTTACCCAAAACTGATCTAACACACTTTTAAAGATAGAAAAAGTAAACCTATAATAATCTGTGTACCTCCCCTCCCCTCTCTGAGAGGAGGTGCGGGTGGTCTGCGTTTCACAGACATAATGAAAATCATACTGTGGTTTTAGCCACGCTCTATTGTAACACGGCAGCTTGCTTAACAAGGAAAACATTCATCCATTGAGAAGGGGCCAAGTCAGCAGAAAATACATTTTCCAAGACGTCCGATTCAGTAATTACAACTGGCTCTGACTGAGACTCGTGGGGCTGAGTGACATGACGTGTCTGCAATTCACCTCGTATTCTCTGCAGCTCTGTTAATAAAAGCTGCTCAGAAATGTGGCTTGCACTGCCAGGTTTGATGTTATTACTTCTAATCATTTTCATGAAATTGGTCTGATTAAATGAAGATGGAGGTTTACCGTCACTGATGTTGGGTCGAACTCTGGAGTCTTGGGGCGTTCTGGCTCTGGCGGTTTAGGGGCCGCTGGTGCTGCCGGCTTTGGCTCTTCCTTCTTCTTCGGGGCCATCAGAGGAGAAACTCAGGACCGACAGAGATGAGGATCCCTCTTCACGCTGCAAAGAAAGGTGAACGATTAGAGCCCCTTTATCCTCTGGCCACAGGTGTCACCTCTACCTCCCCCCTTTCCACAACCAACCAGGCTGCCAACAACAGGGAGAGGACTATAAAAGGATATGTCTTTGTGCTTCTATTTAAGACAAACCTTTGTTGCTGTCTTTGTGTGTGTGTGTGAAAGAGAGGGAGTATTTGTGTGCATCCTATAGGATGGAAACCTACATTAGCTGAAATTCCAGTGCAAGATTTCTTCTAATAACCAGGCTATTTTAATCAGCACCAGTAAGACCTTGTGGAAACGCACCTATCTTCACCCGTTGACCTTGTCCGGTGAAGTGTAACAGTTATCAGCGAGGAGGGGAGGAAAGCAGACATGATTGCTGAAGGTGTTTAAGTTTGCATGCCACAATGCGACGTGATGAACAGCAATTATCCCTGATTGTTGTTAAAACTCTCAAGTGGGGAAGCAGTGCTCACATGACGTGCCAGGGTGAGTCTTTATTAGGATGACGAGCATTTAGCTGGTCTGATCAGAGGGATTCGCAGTACTCAAACTTAAATCCAGATCAGAATGGGGTCAGAGGGAGTTGTTCCTGTCGGATCTCAGCTTTACGAGGGTTGTTGCATCAGAACCAGATGCTCTAAAAGTCCAGAGTCTACAAAGATAAAAGTTTGGGAAGTAATTGTTGTTGATCAAGGTGATAGTTTAAGTTGTCATTGATACTCAAGTGTTCTATGTTGTAATGCTGTAAAAATCATGCAAGAATGGAATAAAGCAAACATTTAATTAAAATGTAAATTCATTCAAGCACATTCCTTTAAGTGTCATACTTTATATTATCACCAGTAATGGGTGACATGTCAATTCAAGTGCTGCCAACAAAAAATGGTAGGGAAAGTTATATTATCTCTTTGAAATTTAGATGTGAGAAACACATTTTTATATCATAAAAATCATAATTTGTGATAATTTAGGTTTATCTGAAGTAGAAACTTGTAAATAAAAAAAATCAGTTTAGTTCTGACTAGATTTCATAGTCCCTTATTGTTTTTTATCATGAAATTTCATTCATAAGCGAAGTCCCTACATTTGAAGAATGTTCTTTGAGACTAAACATGCTGTTTATTTGCAGAAGGAGCTCTTTTAATTTCAAATACAGTTCATCCATTTTCGGCAGCAGCCGAGAGGCCCATCCACTCAGGCCAGCTTCTCTGGGGGAATCTGAAGGCATTCCCTACGTGAGAGACATAGTTCCTCCAGCGTGTCCTAGGTTTTCTCCTGGCTGGACGTGCCCAGAGAACCACACCAGGGAGGCGTCCAGAAGGCATCCTAACCAGATGCCCGAGCCACCTCAACTGGCACCTCGATGTGGAGAAGCAGCAGATCTACTCCGAGCCCCTCCCGGAAGACCAAGATTCTCATCCTATCTCTAAAGGAGAGCAAAGATAAAACATAAAATCAAACAAAAATAATAATCAGGCTTAGCTGATCTTAGTCATCTCATTTTAATACTCTTACATGTTTGATCTGAAGGATTTATCTTCCTCTCTGGGTTTCTCTTTAAAAGGACAGACATCAGGATCGTGTTACAAAAATGATGAACTAATCAAATCAGGAATCTAAACAAGAGGAATTCCTAAGCAAATTGTTTTCCCTTTATAATCTTTGAGTTGAAAGTGAAAGGCATAATATGTAAAAATTCTACTGTGAAATAATCACAAAACAGTCTATTGTCTCAATCACGTTGGAAGGGTGGTTATGCATAAACAGATTTTATTGTCAGCCGGCTCGGGAGTTGTCGGTTATTCTCCTAAAAAAATACAAAAGAGGGACGTAGCTAAATAAAAATACCTAAAATTAACCAAAATATTTTCAAAAGAGGGACATAGCAACTGTTTACACTCTGTGAATTTGTGAGGTTGCTGAAACTTCACTGAGCTAAGACTCCAGCGCAGGCATTTGTAATTGAACACCAGCAAACATAAAGCTCCAGATTTGTTTAAAGATATAATTCCATTTAAACAGGAGCAACCCAGAAGTTGTACCCCTAAGAAGCCCCAACATCCTTTCGTTTCTAATATCGGGTGAAGCAGGCTTGAAGCTAACTTTGAGCTAAAACAGCTAAAGGTAAATTTGGAGCAAATTGGAGGCTCTAAAAATAGCTCAAGCTACTTTTTCCAAATACCAACAACTCAATATTAAAGTAAAATGTGTGTGAAGTGAATTATGAGTCAATCATTGAGTTTTATTTCATTTAATGAGTCGTTCAGAGCTATAACAGCAAGCTAACAGCAAGATCACAAACTCCCACATGTCCTTTAATGCCAGAGACAAAGTACCTTAATAGGTTTAGTAAGTGCTCCCTACCATAAAACACTCAAGAGTGCTAACACCAGATATAAAAATGTATTTATCTATTTTTAACTTACTGTGTGTGATTCATCTTTGCTTGTCATCTAGAATCTTCTGCTGTTGATACTTAACTGGCAACAGCCATGAAACTCAAGGTAAGGCAGTGAGAAATTTTTTTTTTCTTAGAAAAATGGACTGCAGTTACCAAATTTGACTACAGGGGGCCATCCTTACATATTGCACCTTTAAATCCACCATATTTCTTTTAGGGGTCTACATTTGCATTAATAATGTGTGAAAGATCATTTTAACAGTTGATTTTAGCTTAAGGTAAAATTTAAGCTAATGGAAATTTTTCCCACTATTCTTAATTGTGTCTTTATTGTTCTTGATGATGATGATGATGATGATGATGATGACGAGGAGGAGGAGGATGAGGAGGAGGAGGACAAAGAGAACGAATCAGCTCACTTGAATAGTATATAATAGGAAAAGGCAGAAAATAGACTTCTAATATTGCTTTTAGTTTATGCTGTCAATAATTACAAAAGGAACAGATGCCTGCTCTTCCTCTTTAGGTTTCTTTGTCTTGCTCAAAATGAACAGGGCACAATTTTTCTTAAAATAATCACAAGTTGAAGGAAAAACATACTGTTAGTTCCTCATCATCCTAAAACAACCATGACTAAAGTTGTCATCGTCTGGCTGAGATTAACCTGGAAACACAAATGGAAACTTTGTCAATCTGAGTAAAAATGGATCCAACCCCGCTGCTGACCTCTCTCCTCAGGGCCCTGCCTGGTGATTGTCGTTGACAGGCTGCTGCAGCAACCATTCATGACACAACCAACCGCATCAAGAGAAGATCTTGAAACATTTAAGTCTTGTTAGGTTTGCTATTTTGGAGCTGGTCTGTTGTCTGGCTGGTATGTCACTTGGAAAGACTCCAGTTTTGTGCACAAAGCCAATTGTTACTTGGACACATTAGATGACCTTCAGTGCAGCTGCATGCAGTCTGGTTAAAAGCACGAGTGGTAAAAATAGTAAGAGTGTTCTGATGTGTCACTGAAACTGTGCTGTTATTTTTTATTCCTGATGCAGGTGCGACACTAGTGTGGTTTCTCTTGGGTTTGGTACATTTTATGTTGATTCTTTGCAAATTTTTAGGTCAACAACTTCTTATCAATGCATAACTTTTGTAGGTTTGTGCGTGACAGATACCACATAAGAAAAAATGGCTCGGCCGTGATCTTCATTCAGATGTCAGTTATCTTGTTAGGGCTGCTAAACAGATGACACAGCACCTAAATCACATTGCCCTCCAACGGTCCACAAGAGGATTTCACGTCAATAAAATATAAATAAAATGCAATTTTGGAGACTTGTGTCACACCATTACAAAAATAGTCTGACATTTCCAAGAGAGCATTGTATAAGAACGTGTCCTGGGGTTCTTCTGATGTCATCCTCAGTCGAAGAAGATTTGTTCAACTCTCCTGAGAAAATCTTTTTTACTCTGCGGAGCAGCAGGTGGCCCAAAGAGAGTGTCTACAACATCCCCGACGCCTAAGTCTCCAACAACACGCCTGATGGACAAAGTACTCGATATTTGTCATTTCAGTGCCATGATTTTAACATGTCATGAAGACGGCATTCATTTCAAACATTTTACTGACCAGCTTCCTGATGTAAAATGTTTATTTGTATGAGGGAAGGTCTCCTTAGTCTTTTGACCAGATTTGATCTTTAACTCCATTTCTGTGGTGCACCTTTGGGAAACCTGAGTGGGCGAGCTGTCATAACAACAAACGATGCTTCAGATGAAAAGAACTGACCTGAATCCAGCTAGAAATATCTTCCCCTTGAGGTGTTTCATGACTTGTTTTGAGACAAAGGCCGTGTATGGTCTCGGGTGAACGTTGCATTTTCTGACTGAAAAGTCCCGACAAAAATAAACTGGGAATAAAGTCATTCCAAATGTAATCCCTGCTGCTTTGTGACAGGTTGGATTTGTTCAAATCATATTCCTGTTTGTAAAGATTTTATATTAAAATAGACTGTTTTATTCACTGGTCCGAGTACCGTGTCGGCTGACGCTCCCTGGCGGTAAGGCGTTTCCTGTTTTCAGTGTTGCACTACGTGTAGCTGTTTGGTGTTTGTGGCTTGCTAAAACTGATTTAATTTCTCTGTACTAGGATATCTCTGAGTTATTGTAGCACATAAGCATGCTAAAACACACATTTTCTGTTGTTCTACCTAGCTTTTAGGGAACCACACGCAGTTTATTTGGTGTTGAACAGTTTGCTCGTCCAGTTAGCTTAGCCTCAGCACAGCTATGGCTACTTCTGTCTCTGCTTCTCCGTCTCCTATCTCTTGCTCTCTGTGTCAGATGTTTAGTTACTCATCTGCCTCCTTTAGTGATAATGGTGTGTGTAATAAATGTAGCATTTTTGTAGCTTTGGAGGCGAGGCTGTCGCAATTGGAGGCCCGGCTCTGCGCTGTTGAAAAGCCCGTAAACAGCTGTAGCTACTTAGCTAGCGTGGGGCTAACTAGCTCAGAACCACCCCGTAGCGATCCTGCAACAGAACTCGAGCAGCCGGGACCTCAGGCCGGCTGGGTGACGGTATGCAGGAAGCATAGAACCCAGCCCTTGGGCCACCACCAACCCGTCCACGTTTCTAACAGATTTTCCCCGCTCAGTGACGCAC